CGATAAAGACACTGCTCTAACTGCTGTAACTCCTGATGCCGTTTTTAACTTTCTTGCACTTGACACACTGCGAAATGCTTGAAAAAGTTTCCTCTAAAATGGATTAAGTGGAAATTTAGTGGAGAACATTCATTTCAATGGTTATTAGTCATGATAGGTAGTTGGTATTTTGGATCGGAGTACAGTATACTGTATAAGGGACGCGGTGGCTCAGTGGCTAAGACGCTGAGCTTATTGATCAGAAAGGTTGGTAGTGTTATGTCTGGGAATATGGGCGCAAGAACGGAGACGAGGCATCGAAATAGTGACTCCAACTCTTTATTAGTGACTTCAGAACAGAGCGAAAGACTTGGGCAGCAGCAGCTCCTTTTATAGAGCTGGCTGCTGTCACAACATCCAATGGTTTGAGTTTGCCGCGCTGGGAGCGTCCAATCAGCGGCGACCCGCTGTCAGCCAATCAGATCAGCCAACAACGACCAATCACGATCCGCTATCAGCAGGCCAATCAGAAGTGCAGGTTTACAAACCTGTCGTGGAAAGAAAACTATTAGAATTGCAAGCCAACGAGCTTGCTTAGTTCGGAACAGGTAGTTTGGTGGTTCAAATCCCTAGCACCGTGTAACGGAGTGAACTCCCATTACTTGTCCCAACTTCTGCCAATCTAGCAGTTCAAAAGCATGTAAAACTGCAAGTAGAAAAATAGGGACCACTTTGATGCAAGTAGAAAAATAGGGACCACCTTCAGCATTTAGTCATGCCAGCCACATGACCATGGAGACGTCTTTGGACAGCACTGGCTCTTCGGCTTTGTAACAGAGATGAGCACTGCTCCCTAGAGCTGGAAACTGCTAACCCGATAGTTTATTAATGGGATTCTTGAAGTCACTAGGTGACAGCTGAGTACTTTGAAAATCCTAGGGCTGTTTTGAACTTTAGGGCATTTTCAGCTGGGTAGCTTGGACTTCACACACACACACACACACACACACACACACACACACACACACAGAATATGGAATCTATGGGTCCAATATTACACCCAACCCTTCAAAGCTTACATGAAGAGCCTCTCCAAAAGTTGTCTTTGAACCATCATGTTTAATGCACAGGATTATTAAACATAAGTAGTAATTGTATTTAATGTAAAATGAAATTATATGTTTGTGTTTCATTTTGTCTCAGCTTCATCTATTTTTTGTTGCTGCAGCTGTAGTGTTCTTGAAAGCAATTCTTGGGATGTCATGCTCAAGACCGAGCATGCCCATTGCAAGAAAGAAACTTCTCATATCATAAAAGCCATCTGAGTTGAGTCATAAGGGTGCCCTCATGCATTCTCTGATTCCACCTGCAAGCCACTGAAGTCAACAAGCCATCCACAAGCTGGGTGAGCCAACTCTATGTGGCATCCAAGAAGAAGTGGAAGTCATTAAGCAATGAGTTGTTGTTTCTTGAGTTGTTTTCAGGACAAAACCAGGATGCATTCTACTTTAGTAGTCTAACCAGTTCACAGGGAGTCAACAGGTGTGAGCAATTGACAATTGATGCTAAACCACTAGGGTGTATGAATATAGTCAGAACTTTAAATGTTTGTGTCATTTCCCTTGAGAGTTTTATTAGATACTGCCATCACCAATGCAAGCTAACTTTATTTAAACCAAGACAACTGCATGAAAGTTTGGATGCATTGCACCTGGGGGGAGGTACCAATTGCAAAAACATATATGTGAAACATTGGAGAATATTGGAGAAAAAGAGAAAAACAGGAGAATAAAAGAGTAGGAGTAAAATACAAGGTATAGTAGAAGAAAACAATTGATGAAAGCATCAGTCTAGGGGTTGCTCATACAACTGTTTCTAAGAGTCACTGTGACATAAAGAATATGGAATATTTGTGAACTAGGTTTTAGCCTGCCCTCAAGCATAGAAATTCATTCTGGGGTAGCCACATTCCTTTAGAGTTTTTATTCTATGACAAAAAAAGGTGTGTGTGTGTGAATGCAGCAACTGAACAGTGGAATTCCAATTTCAGGGTTTTTTACACAAAGGCAGGAGGAGATGAAGCAGACATTTCTCCAGAATAATTTCAAGAATAGAATTTTGAGTGAGATCTTGAATCTTCCATGTGGCAAATGTATAAACATTTATGGTGGGAAAGGGAAACCTCCTAAAAAGATCTTGAGTCATGCAAAATAATGCAGCCTTTTCCAACCTGGAACCCTTTGGCTGTGTTAGGCCTGCAGTTCCCAGAGTTCTCGTCTGGAAGACACCAACTTTGGGAAAGCTGCTGAAATGGAAGAATGAAATGAACTCCAGGAACTGAAAAGTGTTTCCCTTTCTATCATCTTTAGGAAGCAACCAATCCTAATTTTTGTCTCAAAATCCTTATAGACCATAACTTTAAATTGGTTGGTATTTCTAGGACAGATCAAAGTCAGAGTGGAGGTTATAGAAATCTTAGGAATTTTGAAACCTGAAATTTGTCCTAACTTGCTTTCAACTTACCATACCGTGGTTTTCCAAAGCCTGTAGAATCCCATTTGAGTTGTTTTTTCCTGCTCCTTTTTTAGACCTCCTACATGCACACAGTTGTCTAGGCTTGTCCTTTTTCTTCTTCTTTCTACGGCTTATCTTTAAACCATCTCCTGTGTTTCACAGAAAGCAAAAAAGTTCCAGTTTTGATTCACGGTTTTTGTCTGCAAATCAGAAAATTACCCAGTAGCTAAATACAAATTTGTAACAATCTTATGGCTGAATTATGAAGGTACTGTTTTACTCCCACTAACTCTGCTGTTACCTAAAAGGATTATATAAGAGAAGTTTGCATATATTGTACAAAGACCCAGCTCTCTGGAGGGGGCTCTTAAGCTGAGAGAGATGAAAGGAAGAAGAACAGAGGAAGACCTTCAAAAAAAGGTCGATGGACTTCATTGCGATGGCAATGAATGGACCATTGGGAAACTTGAAAGAACAGGCTGAGGATAGAGGGTCATGGGGGAAAAATCTACATACTGAAAATTTTATATTTTCTAACATTAAAATAATGAAAACGGTGGAAGAACAGTTTCAGCACTATTTTTTTTAACAGATAATAAGCATAGGGTAACAGATAATAAGGATAGGGAAAGTTCCCTGATTGTGTGATGTACACAATGCACACATACAGAGGTTCACATCCATTTGAATTGGCCTCTAGGTTGCCTTCTGCCCAGGACAACTCATTGCCAAGCTCAACACACACCTGGAACGCAATCCAAGGTCCCTCATTTTCTCTAATTGTAAACTTACCCAGGAACAACTTTGGTGGTAGTGGTTAAGGCACCAAGCCAGAAGCCGGGAGACAGTGAGTTCTAGTCTCACCACAGACACAAAGACAATGAACAAGGTGATCTTGTCATGTCACTGTCAGACCTAGGAAGAAAGCATTCTCAAACCACTGCTACAAATCTTGCCAGGATAAAGAGGAAAGATGTAGACTTATCACCAAAGATAACCTTTAATAGAATGAAACACAGCTCCATTTTGAAAATGGAGGAAGAAAAAAACTGGAAGAGTGACCCTGCTTGTTTTCCATTTATGAATTAATAGTTGCCCCCACTTTTTACATGCTCCTTAACAATTTAATCTCAACTTTGCAAAGCTTTCACAGGCTTTGTGTAGTTTAGGCTCAAAGCTGTTCACCTGTGCTCTAAAGAATGCATGTGTTCGCTAAGAATCAAAACCAACTTGATAGCACATAATCAATCAGTTTAGCAGGAAAGGGTGAATTCTATTTATTTAGGCCTTTCAACAAGGGGTCCACTTATCAGATGCTTTAAGGAGACCCTCATGCCATAACAAAACACACACAGAGAGAGGGACAAGGGCTTTGATGCACTTGGCATAAAAACTACTAAGCGTCTACAGTGTGGACTTCTGTGTTTTCACTGCAATTACTTGCCTTTGACATTTCCTGAAACCAGTAAAAATCACAAGATCAGCATGAAAAGCATCATGTGCAGCTCAGCTATTTATTCAAAGAAACCCATTGAGGTAGAAAAGGATTAGAAGCAGAGAGAAAGGGAAAGGGTTGTGCCAGACCAAATAGTTGGCAAGACCAGGATTAGAAAGTAGATTATCCCAAGCAAATTAGCACTGCTGGGTTTGGGAGTTGAGAAACAGGGGGAAAATAGGGGAATGAAAAGAAAATTCTACCGAGAAGGGCTCAAGACGTCTGTAAATAAAAAGGTAAAAGGCCAAGATCTTGGGAAATATACATTTGGAGAGAAATTAGAGGGATGAAGTGCACAATATATGTAATTTATACTTGGATCTGAGGAATTAAGGTTAATCTTGGGGCTATGTTTATCAGAGCAGGAGTGTGAAAACTATTAGGTATTGTAAACTATTCTTGTGATAATTAATACATGGAAAGGTTTCTTGCTTGATATACTTGGAAATATAATTGGAGGATTGGACACAATGCAATTGTGATGTTTGTGAAGAGAGAGAAGGAAAAGATAGGAGGACAGAAATATGGGGGTTGAAATAGATTGATTATAGGAATATAGGAATGGCTGTATGGATCTGCAGCTTCTGCTTTCTCTGGGAATGATGAAAACAATGTTTAAACTTAAAGGATGTCATGGTTCCTTTAGGTTTGCAACAAGTGTATATGCATCTTTTTCTTCAAACCCCATCCTGGGGCTTACAGTACATTGAGGCAAGAATTATTTTAAATGATCTAAAGTAGCAACACTTTTAAGTACTGTTGTTTTGAATGTTGATATTGATATTGATAACCATGCATTCAATCCTCCAAAAAATGGAAGTGAGGTTTTTTTTTTCCTTTTCATTTCCTTTTCATGGCAAAATAGGAGTTTATAGTATTAAACAGAGGATTTTTATGCCCTTTGTCCCTTTTATTTCAGAGCCTGTTTTCTTACAAAGAAATTAAGAGAATTTCCTCAAATACCTAGAGACGCAACCTTACGGCTTTGCTTTGGTGGGATCTCAAAGTTATTATGAATCTTTCAATACTGTTACTCCTCCTGTTGGAAGCAACTAATGCTCAGTTTCCACGACAATGCACTACAGTGGATGTGCTGATCCAAGGCGAATGTTGCCCAGATCTGACTCCCGGAGTGGTTCCTGGTTTGGATCGCTGCGGCTCATCTTCTGGAAGAGGCCAGTGCATACAAGTGACAGCAGATTCCCGACCCCATGGACCTCAATATATGCATGATGGTCGAGATGACCGTGAGCAGTGGCCTCTTCGTTTCTTTAATCGAACTTGTCGGTGCAACCGCAATTTTTATGGTTACAACTGTGGCTCATGTCAACCTGGCTGGACTGGCCCCACCTGTGACCAGAAGATTAATATAGGTAAGCACACTAGCAAGAAAGAGAACACGATCGTGGCGCTTCTTTTTTAGCCCTTCCAGTAATGATACTAATGTTTGAAGAAAGACTTCACAAGGTGCCTTGCCTGGTCATCTCAAATAACAAATGGGTTGGCATCTGTCTTCACATCTCTTGGTCACCAAAGCCTAAGTCTCTAAATTTAAAAGAAAAGCAGACTTTTTAAAAAGAAAAAAGAAAGAAAGAAAACAAATAAACCATAAGTAAATAATTGGGAAATGCATGCATGTTATTGACTGGATTTGCAATCTTGTGCAAATTTATTTCACACTGATGTAGTAGAACTTCCAGCTTCATGCTTCTTCTCCATGAAAAAAAAAATTGCCATAGGGGATGATGATCAGACAACAAGAAGACCTGAGGGAGGAGGAATATAAAAGTCACAAAATATGTATTTTGTTTGAAAGCTTGTTGGTAGTAAAGTCAGGAGAAGATATAAACAGCAACCCTAAAGAATGCCTTTCTGTTTAGGCTGTTAAGAATTATTAAGAATTATTCTAAGTGAGGTTTTCCATGTTGTTTGATTCGAAAAAACGGCTGTTCATTTGCCTTTCTAATGCTACATGGAATTTGAATAATTCCCAAGACCAAGCATTCAGCAAAATGAAAGTATGTGAGCGCATAACAATATTTAGTAAGAAGAAAATAATTCTTGCATGA